GGATAAGACTTTTCATTTCTCATGGGACAATCCAAGGCAGAAGGGTTGTCCTGGGTGGCTATAAGGCTTATGGCCACAGGCCACTTAGGGATTCAAGATGGGTGTTTAGCTGTAGCAGCCCGGGACATAATTTCCACCCTCAGTGTAGTAACTGCCCCTTCCCAGGGAGGAACGAGAGCACAAAAGGAGAACAGCCTCCCTAGAAAAGGGCAATCCAGATGTTGCAGGCACATCTTTCTCTTGTACCCCATGAGCCGGTATCTTGTCACCAGGTCATGCCTAGTTCCAAGGGAGAATGCAGTCTTCATGTGGGCATGGTTCTTCTGCTGAGAGAACTACATGAATTGATAATGGCCGGGTCAGGGAGCACTTTCATACTCATCAGTGCCACCCGTAGAGTATTGCACGAACTAAAAAATGATCTTTTTTGCTTGTACCAACTCAGACTGAGGGATCCTGTCTAAGGCACCATGGCACTGTGACTTGAAGCCTCAAGAAGCCCAACTATACACACACTAATTTGATAGGCCCAGATTACATTAAAAATTTTCAAGATTTTCTGTGGCTTTCTCCATAAAGTTATAGAGTGACAAAAATGAATGCAATCTAAGCCATCTGATCTAAGAGCTGTCATTGGAGAATCTCTATGCTCCCAACTCTGAGTGATTCTGATGGAGTGAGTGACACCACTCCCCTTCAGAGCTGGACATTAGATCAGGGCTAGCCGATGAGCACTCACTGCCTTGGAATTGGCACAAGGATGGTCATGTGACCTAGAAGAGCCAATTAGAGTCTCCCCTGGGATGAACAGATAATGCTGAAGCTTGTCCTCCTAACAAAGAGACAGTATATGCCTATGGCTGCCCCTGGCCACTTGTCTCCAAAATGAGACCTGGTGGAGAGTAAACCCAAGACAGAAGGAAGTAGGACTGAAGACCGACCTACCTCTTGAACTTACCAGACATGAGCCACTTTTTGTTTCATCTTGTCTATTTGAGGCCATTTGATTTGGGATAGAGAGATCATACTCCCCAGGGCTGGGGCTAGAGGCCGGGCAATGAGGCACCCCGTTAGGGTTTTGTGAGTCCTGATCCTCAACTTGCATGACCCTGAGAGTCAGCGCTTCCTTCAGTCTCGCTCTCCAGGTGCTCACTTTGCCTTGGCCTCGTCAGGCCCTCATACTGCCCCGTTCAGAAAGTATTCATTATAACGAAAGGAGTGTTTTCAAAAGAGAATGCATTCGTACTACCGTCCTCCTATGTGGGCATCTCGGGGATATGATACAGAACTGGGTCATGCACTGAAACGGAACTTCTAGCCATGGCATTGCAGAGCCAGAAATTAACCCAAGGACTGTCGAGCCCATCACATTCAAAACAGCATCTACTTTAGCTCAAACCTACAGACAACTCTTGTACTACTTTCTATATTCCATTCAGTCAACTGTTACTGCTATCATTATTATTTCTTAACTGTTAAGGATAGAAAATTACGTGCAGAAATCCAGAGCCTTCTGCACTCTTCCAGAGCAGGTGACAGGCTCTCAAGCTTTGCCAAAGGTGGTTGTATTTTCACTGAGCACCACAATGAACCAAGGCTGAGGCTGCGATGGCACTTGTCCAATGCCCTTACCAAAAATAACTTGAGCTTTGGTCCCGCTGCCTGCTGCTCTCAGTGGGAATGTCACAGAAACATATGCAGCCTTTCCTCTGGCAAGGTGAGACAGCATTAATGACAATGGTTTGGCTATCACCAAGGAGGGAGGTCATGGACTCTGGCTAAATCTCCCCTCCACCATTTCTTACCCAGCTATTGAAGATGACAGCAACATAAGGTGGGAGAAAACCTTGGAGCAAGTTTGCTTCAGTTCTTTATTGCTTCATTCCTCTTTCCTAAATTCAACAAATATTTATTGAGTACCTTCTGTGAGCAGGGATTGTCCACAATAAGCTTTCTCTCCCTCTCCCTCTCCCTCTCTCCCCCCCCTCTCTCTCACACACACACACACACACAAACACACTCTACAAATA